GGGGTGGGGGTAGGTGAGTAGATCTAATGATATTTATGTATGTATAGGGATGTCAGCATAGTTTGATTTTGAACTAGGTTGTTCTTGTTTTAAATTTTAGAAATTGTATACTTTTTTCACAATATAAGAGAGAAAAGTATAGAAAATTATGGTCCCAATCAATAATAGAAGAATCTTCTCTACTGGTCCAACCAGACACAAAAAATATAGGAGGTAGGGGAAGGGGTAGAGTTATGGTCTTGATTTAGTAAAATATGTGTCACACTAAAGGTGATTGGAGAGAAGAATCCAGCACATATTTGAAAGACCTAATATCCACAAATATTGAAATAAGATGGAGAAATTACATCATTCGTCCTCTACTCATTTCCCGAGCAGCGCGTTATTCTCTTCAACCTTCATAAAGGATTAAGTCGATTATCAACCTCTCATTAAAAAGTCTCATTTTTAAATTTCTATGAAGTAAAATCTAAATTCATTAGATTAGACATGTGAGGGACGTTTTCTTAATTCAAATAGAGATTTGGATGCTTTTCGTGATTGTTGACTAATCATGCGATTATAATAAAAAGTTGAGAAGCAATTTGTTTCTTTATAGAAATTGTTGGCCGATTTATGATTCAAGTGATAGGTTTCACTTCTCTCTGTTTTCACACTATTTGAAGCATATTCACGGTACATTTGTCAAGATTTTTGAAAAGCTATGAATTATTTTTGAAGATTAAGAAGTTTTTTTTGAACATATTTGAATACGTTTTTTAAAATATTTTATCTTTTTAAAAGAGTTTTAAAAGAAAACTGACATAAGGTAATTTTTTTTAGGAGATTTTTTCACAAGAAGTAAAAGTAAAAGTAGAATTCAAAGCTGTCTTTCTTCAAACTCATTCTCAATCATACGTTTTCGAATAAATAATTTTGCACGTGAATTCATAACTTTTCATACTTTTTAATCACACGTTCTTTTAAAAAATTATTTTTCACGAAATTACTTCTTAAAAAATCAAAACCAAACAAAAGCTTAGACGCAAGTTTTTCAAGGATACAAATAATATCTTTACAAAAATACAAATTCTCGAAAAAACAATTTATGTTACAAAAGTAAATAAAATAACTCTAATGGTTGACGATACATGTGCATATATGCCGTAATTAGAACGGAGTTGGACTTTATAATAAAATAATTATGAAGGGATGTAAAGTACCAAGGTTTTTGACTAATGATATTTTATAAATATGTTCACGCCAAAAATAATAATAATAATAATAATAATAATAATTAATCAAACATTTAGAAACAGACAAGAATTATTATTTTAGAATATTGTTTGTGAATAGACCTACAAAATAACACATGTTTGAAATGACACTAGGGTTGTCCTTAAAACTCTTTGACGCGCTCAACTATATGATATATTACGCAAAATATTCTAAATTGCTATAGAAGAACGAGTGTGATTGTGCAATTGGCATCGACCGTTAACTAAGTATTTTTTCTCAACGCTTTAGTCCAAAGAATTAGAAGATCAATCACAAATCGATGTGGATTGTCTCAAATTTAACCAAAAATAATGCAAAATATATCGACAAATTCAGACGTAAACAAGAAATTAGTATAATGTTTAATGGGAACACCATTATGAGAAAAATTTAGGGTTGTCCTTCAACAAAATGGGTTCATTTCCATTTATTGTGATCATTACAATTCGGACCACTTTGTCTGCAAGGTGCTATAATGTTCCACTAGGTACTTGCCATCAATGATGGAAGACATTGTTTCATATATAGTGCCTTTTCTATTGTACATATGCACTATGTACAAGCATCCAAGTTACACAAGAATTGATAAGTAATTATATTGGATCAGCACGAGTGGATTATTGAGGTCCCTTGGGTGCGGTTATTGAAAAGTCGAAAGTTACTCTTGAGATTAAAAATTTACATTTTAATACGTTTAAATAATTTTTTGAAAGTATTTTGTCTAATTAGAAAAAGTTTTAGAGGAAAGTGACGAGTGATATCTTTTGTAGAAAAGTCAAATAAAAGTAAAATTAGAAATCCTATCAAATGGGCCACGTGTCTATTAGGATTTTAAGTTATGCTCATGTTTGAATATGTTTGACATGATTTTAAACTTATCTAACTAGATGTACAATTGGTTGTGAGGAAAAATTTCATGTTTAAGAGATTAAGTATGATCCATTTCAAAATTAAAAAACGAGATTTAAAACTTCAAAAATCATATATTAATTAAATTTTATTTATGAAATAATTAGTTCAAAATATTAATATCACAATTCCATACTATTTGATCACAAATTATCAAATTAATTAATTACAAATTATTTCTCAATCACGATTCAAAAATTTTGTAAGTCACAAATTATTTTACGATTACAAATTAAAAATTTTATATGTCACAATTTATACATTGATCATAAATCACAAATTTTATAAGTTATGATTCAAATTTTTAGACCACATATTAGTTATTGTCATAAGTCATCTGTCACATTATTTATTGGTCGCAAAATATTCAATTTATTGATCACGATAATTGGTTATATATTATTTAATGGTCACAAATGAACCAATTTCTTAATTACAATCAACCAAATAATTGGTTACTAAAAATGCCACATCACACCGTCCTACTCACAACCCACCTTCACGATCACCACCACCATCAACAATGTCGACCACCACCACTCTCACCCGCCACCATCGAGAGATCCACGACCAAGGCCAACACCTCTACTTGCACTACCAACAAAAACCATCCCAAACTACCAACAATGCCAAAATATGGAAGGAAAAGTCTTGGTGTACACAATTTATGCATATAAGAGTGTCCACACATAAATTATGTACACCAAACACAATCTAATATGGAAACTACCACCATCACTACCAGATCCATCATCACTCGCACCAACAACCTATAACACCACCACCATCTCGCAGCCCACCACCGTACCAACATTCAGCCATCTTCCCACCACCAAGGTCACTAGCTTCACTCCGTCAAAGCTGTCTCCAATTGCTATGAATTATTGAACTACACCATAGAGCCCCTATCCTAGCACTCCACCTGTACCCCCAACGAAAACCACCCCAAACAGCCAACACCACCAAAATATGGAAACCACCACCATTCCAACCAAAACCAACACCTCTCCGCCATTAGATCTACCACCACCATTACCACTACCATTGCATAGCAACCAGCCAAAGGGTCTCCCCATAGCCAAGGACTCTAGCTTCACTCCATCAACAATGCACTATAGATCTCCTATCGAATTGTAGTAGCGACAGAGGCGATGTCCATGCGACACGCTCACATCAAGTGGGTTTGCTGCTGCGGTGATGATGTTGCTATGCAGTGGCCCTTTGGAGGTGGTCCCTAATAGTCGACGCTTCTCGGTGGCAATAGATGTCTAACGGAGAGGGTAGAGAGACCGGAGTGAAGAGAGAAGAAAAGAGAGAATGGAGATGAGGGAGAGGAGAGAAGATGAGGGAAAATAGTTTAGGGTTTTGAATGGGGGTGGATGGGGTAGGGTGTGTATATAAATTAATTTATAATATTATTATTAGTATTGAAAGATTAATTCATAATATTTGGATTAATATCTGATTTTTGTATAAATAAATAAATTTGATTTTTGAACTTAGATCTTAAAAAATTTGGTTGGCTGTAATTTTCACTATTGTAAATCTAGTAAAACATTTATGTGAGAGTACCATAATATAAAATTATGGTTTTGATCCTCGATATTATAATTTCTTGAAAAAAGTACTACGATAATGTTGAAGTTCATACGTATGACTTCTTCTTTAATAACAAAAAGGAAACCTACAAAAACAATCATAATATTTCTAATTCTTTAGTTGACTCAAAAGCTGTTGAATACTCGTACTAAATATAAAATTGAGTAAATAAGACAATTTTATTTCATGTCTTGCTTCTTCGAATTTGAAAATAAGTGACTTTTGAAAAGGTCCACCATTAACTTACCATGCACACTTCAAAATTATGTACATCTCCACCATTTTAATGCATGTCTTGCCTTGACTCTGAAATTTTTATTAATACCCTAAAAGACAATGATTTCAAGTGCCTACAATACATCTAATGCATCATCCTTAAATGTGCCACAAACATCATTGGCTTGTCCCCTACGAATGTACACGATCTATTCCAATTACGCCATAAATAAACAACAACGATGCAAACATATTTGTTTTCATCTATCACACTACTAAAAATTGTTCAATACAGTTATATTTGATTCAGTACATATTTGACATTTTTTCTTTACTAATCATGTTCAGTAATGCCAATTATAACTATAATAGAATAATAAGTAAACCCAAATAAAAATCCTTCCTTGGGCGTATATAGAACTAAGGAGGCATGGTGTAAATGATTTGCCTTTGCTTGGCGGAGCTAGCACTCGACAAGCTCCTATTGGCTTCGTCTAAAATTTATTTCTTCACACATTTGGATCTGTCCATACTCACCTCCATTACTGGTTGTGGATATCTCTGCCATGTATGTTGCCGACAGTTTTGATTGATTACAAGTTTGGAAAATCTTCTAAATCTGTGCAAATCAACTCAAGCGAAGAAAGAAAATCATACATTATCTTGCTTCCTTTCAAATCTAGAAAGACTCAGACTTCTGCTACGTGTACATCTCTTTTGTACATAACGAACAAAAAAGATGTACAAGTTAATTCAAAGACTTATCATTTTATCCTACTCACGATCGCTATAGTCTATCATCTCCAAGCTGTTTAGTTGCAAAGTATTTCTAACAATTTCGGTAAAAGAGAGAGAAATCATTTTGTTATTGTCTAATAAAAGCTTATACATAATTATTAAAATATATTTTAATAGTTATAAACAGTTTTTTAATAACGTTGACTTGTCTTCGTCTCCACCCAACGGCTCCCGACTCCGTCACGGCTATATATACGGGCTGTTTTCAATACACACTCCCACTCACATCTCTCTCTCTCTCTCTCTCTCTCTCTCACTCACTAACAGTAGAAGGTGCCAAAAAAAATCTAGTTTTGTGAAGTTTGAAATGGTTGCGTGAAGTGCGGTATCTTTGAGTTATCTTGAGAAAATTCACACAAACAGTTTGTGTTCTTTTCTCTGTCTTCTTGAAAATGGGAAAGAAAGATCAGACCAACAAAGAAAATGAGAAAGTTCAAGCTGTGCTTCACCTTCTTAGAAAACAAACTCCCCTCACTCTCAAACAGGTTAAATTTCACTTTCTACTGTGTGTGTTTTTGCGGTTCACTATACGTATATATATACACATACAAGTATAAACTAAAATGTGTTATATTTCACCTTCAAGTATGTGCATTTGTATGCTAGATCACGGGCTCCTAGTATACCTAAGATTTAGCTTATTTTTTTATATTAAAGTTAGCTTTTTTTTATGTTGATCTAGCAGGAGAAATTTTGCAACAATGCCTGTGTGGAGAGGTTTCTGAAAGCAAGAGGGGAAAATGTGAAAAAAGCAGCTAAGCAGTTGAAAATTTGTCTTGCCTGGAGAGACTCCATAGGCACTGGTATTGCTTTCTCTTTTCAGTTTATCCATATTTTTTTTATTTTTTTGAATCTAAAATTCACTTGTTTTCGATAAAAAAAGAAAAAAGAAAAAAAGAAAAAGGTTTCATCTCACGTTTTTCACCTACTTTATTTTGTCTGTGTCTTCTTGTTTATTCTGTTCTTGTTCTTTTTACCCTCAGAATCTTGCTTTTCTTTGATTTTGAAAATCGTCTCATTAAAGTACTCAAAAACTGACTTCTGTTAAAGTAGATTATCTCAAAACAGCAGAAAACTTATTATTTTCGCACTCTTTGGCTTTTTTTGTTTTTGAATTATTAGACCATTTGATAGCTGATGAATTCTCTGCTGAGCTCGCCGAAGGTGTAGCTTATGTTGCCGGCCATGATGATGAATCAAGACCTGTCATGGTGATTATTTTCACTTTTTTCCCGAAAAATTTCAAAAAATAAAAAACGATTTCCTATTCTATGGGTACTTAACTGTACTTCTATTAACAAAGACGACGTTTATTTATTTATTTATTTTTAACAAATTGCAGATTTTCCGAATGAAGCAAGATTATCAGAAATTTCGTTCGCAGAAACTGTAAGTTAATTTAGTTTTGGATGGGCCCTATTATTTCTTGTTTTTCAAGGTACATTTTTACTTAAAAATGAGGTATGCTCATTTCTTGGTGAAATTTTTGTAGGTTTACTAGGCTGCTGGTGTTTACCCTAGAAGTGGCTATTCAAACTATGGGAAAAAATGTCGAACAATTTGTTCTTCTCTTTGATGCCAGTAAGTTAATTTTCTTTATTATTTCACTAGTTTTTTACCCATAAAAAATCAGACTCTTATCCTGTTGAGTATAGTCTAATTGAATTATGAATAAAGCTAAACAACCCGCACCAATAATCACGAAGATGATCGTGCCCTCACATGGGATAAATGAGTCTCACGTGAATTAAAAAATTTTAAACCCACGCGTGTGTGGTCATCCCTGCGGCTATTCCTACTGTTCCTGTAGCTCGGTTGATTGCGTTACAGTCATTAGAAGTGTGGATGGGATATAAATGTCATTTCAGTACATTCTCTGCCATACAAATCCAAATACAGCTTTTATCTCAGTTGATAGCAGTAATTAATGTACATTCTATCTTGGGATTCTGCATTCAACTTTAAATCATGTCTAAAAAACCTAAAAACACGCCTTTTGTTAAAATTCAAAATTTTCTTTAAATTTCACTGTCACGCCTAATCACTTAACTGATTATCAATTAATTAAGTGATTAATAGAGTAAACAAGCAGACAATGGGGACGGAAACTTTTTCAGAAATTGTCAGAATTGCCCTTGAAATGTCATGGTCATGTACTCATGTTCGGGGATATTGTGGGTATATAGGTTCATTCTCATGGCTCAATCATGCTATCCAAAAGTGACCATAATTCTACTTTTTCCCTGTGTCAGAAGACAAAAACTGTAAAAAAAGGAAAACCCAACAGTTATTTGAATTTTTCTTGACTTTTTAAGAGGGCTCTTTTTTTGATAAATATTTTCTTTTTGAGGTGGGATGTGATGGAAGGAAAACTTAGGTGGGACAGTGGTCCATTCATGTTATGATATTTCGGATTTCGAATCACTTAATCTAGTGAAGTTATAACTTATAACGGTTCGAAAATTTAGTGGATAAGAAAAACAAATATGGCAAATGGATTCACTCGATTTTCGATGTGTCATAATTTGAATGATTCATAGTCAATAATATCGTGATATGAATAGACAGATTTATATATAGGATCACCTGGATTTTTCTTTGTCAATGGGGGTGCATGGTGGGGTAGGGTTTTTGTTAATTCTTGGTGACTAAACAATGTGAAAATGCAGGCCTTTTCCGGTCAGCATCAGCTTTTATGAACATGTTGCTGGCAACATTGAAGATCTTAGCAGATTATTATCCAGGCAGGCTTCACAAGGCCTTTGTCATTGACCCTCCTACCCTCTTCTCTTATCTTTGGAAGGTACATCACCTCGAAACTCAATGATAATTGAAATTTTTTATTGTATTTATGTTTTCTAGTTTATCATGAATTCGTGTACCACTTAGTTGCATGTTTAACTTGTCGCTATCTTGTGTTGAAGTTCCATGATAGTCGATAACTATATTTATATTTGACATTTTAATCGCACTTATAAGGTCAATTCGATGTAGAAGATTATATTTATTTATTGTAGTCATTTGGACCCTGATTATATGATTCAACAATATACCTAAGGGTTTGATAAGAACCTGTATAAATTACGACAAAATATATAAGTAGATTCTTGTTCGAATTGAAAAATTATATGTTTAATATAGTCACTTATTGCAATTTACCCTTACTGTATATTAGTACTCTATGCATCAAAATGAAGTAAGTTCTTATAGTTCTCATATTTTTGTTGTTGAAGGGAGCTAGGCCATTTGTTGAGCTATCCCCACTCACTATGATAGTGTCATCTTTGGACTTTGAAGAATCTTTGGAATTCAATGATTTTCTATCGTATCCAAGAGCAGCATCACTCCGTTTGGATCCTTCCTCTGTACCATCAACCAATAAAGTAGGGACGTGCGCTTCGTCAAGATTTGCATTCACCGTTTCACACCATTTTGATTCACTCAAACCTTGGCACTTGACGTTGAAGGATACATCCACATCTAAAGTGGGAACCACGACCACATCTTTGGCTTCCTTTGGTCCCACTATCTCGCCCCTTAATGCTCGATCCTACTCATTCGCATCACCGACTGCTAGAGGGTCATATGGCAACATCGGAACCATCAAGAAGGGTTTCTTCCCATCAACACCAATGCCACAAAAAACTCAAAAACTAGATCCATCAATGATCAAGCATCCAAGTACTCCAAGGCCTTCATTCCTCCAATCGCCTGCTTTGTTTTTCAAGAGGGACTGTCAATTAACTCGAATGGAAAAATCTCGAGAATCATTCGTCCCATTTTTGAAATTTTATCGTCGACCGTATGATGAAATGATTTATAGGTCAAAGATGAGACCTCCTCTAGGTGGCCTCATTTCCATCGTCTCTTCTCAGCTCAAGCGAGGACACATATCGGTCTCCCAACGGTTTTGATCCTATAGCAAGAATGCAAAATAATGTATTAACCAAGATTCAGATAATCGAATTATTGTTTCATAATCTCTATTTTAATGCATGCACTATACATTTATTTTGCCCGCCTAACTGCCCTGGCACCTAATTATGTAAAGAAATAGATTACGTGCTAAAAGCATACTTAGCATCTTCAATATAACAATGTAAATAATTGTACATGTGCTGAGCAAAATGAGAAATGCATAGAAAAGTATCTCCAATGAGAATGCGAATTACACTAATTTTGGATCACATGTACAAGATAGATGATGTAGAGAAAGAGTGAAGATAATCTATAAAAAGATAAATGAACACATTCTCAGATTAAAATAAATTATAAAAAATTAAGTGAAGAATGTCTAGCATACGAGAAAGACTTCGATAGAACAGTTCTATATGCACATGTATATGATCAACCATTTAGATCATGACACCTCGACATCCGAGGTCCGTTTTACTATTTACTATTTTGGGTATCAAAGTGTCATGATTTAAAATTCAGTGTCTCATGATCCAAATAGTGGATCCTGCCATGTGCAACCAACTTCTCAACCACTATATGAACCATCCACATTAGGATCCAGTGTAGGTTGGTTACTGATAACAAACAATAATGTTGTACGAAAGCTTTTTGTCAAAAGATACATGGGAACTGTAGAATGGAAAAGCATGGAAGCCCGGCCCTCTCTTAAGATATTTCTATTTAGGACTTGATTGAGGGATCAAATGACACCGAAACATAAAGAAACAAGACCAGAACCCCATTTAGACTATAAATAAAGTTTGACTTATAGAGCTTTAAGCCCCCTTTTTCTAGTCAATGAAGATGTTATTCTCCCAAATCCTTTCTCAGCTATCATGGACGACGTAAGATGGACCAAGTAGAGGCAACAGAGGTTGTGATGGCCCTCTCCACCACAGACCTTTCAAGGCGAGAATGAGGGGTCCTCTATCTTGCCAACCCAAGAAGTAGTTTCTGATCGTGTATTGAAGTTTTTCTCCTAGTACACTTTGTACTAGTGAATGATTTGTTAGACATCCTCCACCATTTTTCTTGCCACGTAAACATTTTAGAATGATGTGTGGCACTTTTCATTCCAACTCATATTCCCATTAAAAACAGTAATGCTAGCTCCATTAAAAAGAGTAATGCTATCTGTTAGTACACTTTTTATTGCATGATATTTGATATCTCACTTAGAGCATTTTTAATGGAATAATGTTATTTTGTCCACTGGTGTTAGAACCTCAATCTATGTGGCGCTAATATAACATTAAATGATAAGTAGAATTAAACGAGTCATTTAATTCCACATTTCCTTTTAGCCTATCAACTAAGATCACATAGATTGAGATTATAACCACAGTAGGTTAAATAACATTATTTCATTAGAAATGCTCCAAATGAGATATCAAATGTCGTGCAACATCGTGTGTCACATTTAGTGCTATGTTACATTTTGGTTTGTACAAGAACATGGCATGGAATTATGAAATCGTGGTCAAGACGGCGAACATTTCTTTGGAAATCACCAATGACCCAAATAAATCTCCCAACAGCACTAATTTTCACGTTTCATATATTTTTCATCGTTCTTTACATTTTATTTAAAGTTATGAAATGAATTAATGGAAAAACTTGTTAATCAATATGATTTATTTTAGTGTAGATATGGTTTAGACGCTAAACTAATACCACGATAATGATGGAATAAAGTTCATCTAAAGGTATAAATTGGGTCGTGCCGAGTCCTCATTGTTAGATATTTTTCATTATTTTGCATGTATTTATTTTTTTGTTTTGCGAATGATTTGCCGCCCCAACTAGTGTTTGCCGCTGCGCAACGGGGATTCAAACGGTTGCCTCAATTTCTATAAATTCTGGGCGAATTCTCGTTTGCAAAACACATTAAAAAAATTTATTCTTCTTTCTTTCTCTTGGCATCAATCAATTATTTTCGAGTGTCTTCTTGGTTTGATCAAATAGTCACAATTTGAATCAAACATGTCCATTGTATCCTGAGAGAGATTTTCTATCATACCCCAATTGTGATTTTGTTAGATAGGGGAGAAATATCTCTTGAAAGATAACGTTTTTTTGTGCCTTGGAGTTCATTAAGTATTCAAATTTTCCTACATTTTTCTCAACACTCATGTCTTTATTGGTTTGCAACCTAGATAGACATTCTCTTTTCCTTAATTTTCAACTCGGGTAGCGAAGAAGAGAACTACACAAATATGCACAAGAATTCAGTTGCATATAAACTCGTTCAAGAGAAGATAACGATGAAAAAATCAAATAGAAGAGGAAAATCTGCTAGTGTTTTTCTCTGAACGTTTGATTAAACTGTTCATTTTCCTTTGAAATTGTAATGAACTTCAATCCTAGCTAGGTTGGTCTTAGCCTGTACTGTTCAATAATATAAAAAATTAGGCCAAAGTTTGAAAAACTCTTCTGTTTGTAAGCTTGTTGTTGGTACGAATATGTGTCGTTTGGTGTCATTGTACGCAAAAGTCAATTAGAGATTCTTAAAACTGCCAATATTTCTTCATATTGTACGAGTGTCTGGCATTGCATTGGAAATTAAAAAAATAAACACACACATGTAAAATAAATACATTAGTATTAATATACACACACATATATATACATGCACCTACTTCAAGGATAAAAAAATTCAACGTCCATTAAATATGAAAATATTAATCAATATGTATAAAAGTTTGGGTGACTCAAGATAAAAATCCAAAACTCAGTATTAAAGCCCTCAAGAAACTCAAATGAGCCATTAAATTTCAAATTTGGCTTTCTCAAATTAAGCATGTTGCATGGACATCTTAAGAGTAAAATCACATGTCACTTAAATATAAAAAGCAGCAATTAACATGCAATTTAAAGACTTAAGCTATTTTGACCTTTTAAGATAGAAATTTAGGATACAATAACAATGTCCGTGTCTTCATTAACTTGTCCAAACATGTTTTGTATTAAACAAAATTTTTACTCCGATTTATATTTTAATAGGTCTGCTTGACATTGGACGGAAGTTTTAGAAAAGTCAAAAGTTGATTCTAAAGTTAAGAAGCTAATTTTGTATATGTTTGAATAATTTTCTAAAAGTACTTTGTTTGAGTAGAAAAACTTTTAGAGAAAATTGGCCTAAAGAAACCATTCTACAAGAAACAGAACCCTGCCAAATGAGCCCTTACCAATAAAGCGGAATCTCGACGTTGTTTTTGTTTGGTGATCTGTTGTTAGATTTTGATTTGTATTTTAGTTCAGGATTTTGCAATAACAATCGGGGGGCTGTTGAGGGCTGACGGCCCCCTGACCAAACCCCACCCATAGGTGGGGTCCCAAGCGGGAAAATGGGACCCCCCCCCAATTTATGGGTGGGGTTCAGTTAGGGTGCCCCTGTTGTTATAGAAAAATCCTTTAGTTTATGATTATGTTAGGTATGTATGGTCAGAAGTTGGTGTTTGTGCTAACACTTGTTCTTGACTGGGTTATGAGATCTTATTAAAAAGTCTCTTTCACTTCCTTCTAGATAAACACAAGGTGAAAGATGAATGAATCTTGTACTAACATTTGGAATTAAGTATTTGTTGTTTATGGGACAGCCTGTATTAGTAAGTCTTTGTTCTTGAAGGGATACACTTGACAGCAATTCGATTTTCGTTTATTTTTTTCTGTCTCTATTTTTCTTTTCCTTCTAGTTTTACAGTGGGATCATATTCAAATCTTTACATTATGTTAAAAACCTAGTGAGATTAAAATGTGTTCAAATTGAAACAAAAAATCGAGTTCAATGACATTTAGCCCTTGTCTGGCCATGATTTTTGGTGAAAAAAGATCAAGTACCACTTAGTCATCCCAGTAACTCATTCGTGTCTTCTCAAATTGATATTCACCCTTTGTTGAATTAAACAATGCAATAAGTATAGAAAAACCGATAGAAATTTTACAAAATAACACTAAGAAAAAAAAAAAGCCAGTGTGGTGCTGACACGACAGCATCATATCAAAAGCTTGTGAAAAAAGTCTGTACCTAAGGCTCTTTTTTATTGAATTATAGAGGTAAAAGAGTTTTTCAATCAGTGTGTTAATAATGGAGGGGTATATGGGTCTTTAAAGAAGCCAACTTGAGGGTGCATTTGAAAATTCAGTACTACATGTAACATCTGTTTTGAATTTTGTAACGGATAAATTCTTTTGGTTGAAATACTTTATTCCAAATCTCTGTTGCAAAATATCATATTTTAATAACTAGTTCAATTTTATAGTGACCAAACATTGACTTAATATCAAACTTGCATTCTACTTAAAGTCATCGAATTTGACTCATTTGAAACCATTCAAGGCACAAATTCAAAATGACATATCTACTCATTGAATCATCATCCACTATGGGGATTTCAAATTTCATCACTCACAAGAATGAATTTTACTATTTGTACACTGATTTTTGACACTTTGATTGACACTTGCATTGTTGTCAAGTGTTAATTGGATGAAAAAACCGTTTGAAATTTAAATTGTTCAATAAGATAATTTCATGTGACAAAATGTAAACTAAAGTGTGCACCATAATGTACATGTAACAATATTCCACAAGAATAGCTAGGTTTTCTGTCAATGTGAAATTAAACATGATTGAGATCACTTAGTGGAAGATTGTCACATGATGGGGTCTTTTCTATTTGACTCTTGTTCACATAATTTTCTTCACAATTGGTGAAATTTGGAAATATATAGTGATGATTGATGACTCTTCCTTCAAGGTGGAGCCATTTTTAGTTTGCTTTCATACAGTTGAAAAACGGTTCTTTTGCATGTATTTTTTTTCAAACATCGTATTTAAATGTTTAAAATATTAATAAAAGAACTAAAAGCCCATTTGACATTTCTTTTAATTTTATTTTTGTTTCTTGTAGAATTTTTTTTGAAAAAAGCTACCTTACTTATATTTGAAAACTAATTTTTAAAAGAACTTTTTTATTTTGAAAGTACTTTTTGGAGGAAGTCAGCTCTCTCTAAAAACTATTTTGACTATCAGATATATTTTCATACAATTAGTCAAATAAATTTA